ACGGTCAGGGATCCCTTCTCAGGGTGGTCCGGGATGTAGCCTGGGAGTGGGTGGCCTTCCTTAAGTTATAGGATAACGGCAAGCCAGGAAGGCCACCCACTCCCAGGCTACATCCCGGACCACCCTAAGAAGGGATCCCTGACCGTCCCAACAGTATATGATACAACGAGCTTTGTATATGCGCATCTGGTGAGTGCGCATTTTATATATTTATTAGCACACCCACCTGAGGATTTTCTTGCATACTGGGATTTAACACACCTGGCGATTATTTTGACAATTATTTTGAAAATTTTATCGAGATTCTATTGACATCATTTTATGTTTTAAACGCATTATAGGTGCATGTGCATTTTTACTAAAGAACTATATTTCCATGTGTTTATGAGCATTTTCATGGTTATAACGCACTTGTTACTTATGTGCGTTTTCTTATAAGATTTCATTTATCATTTCTTAGCGCTGCACTACTTTTACAGATTTTACTGAAGGCTTATTGTTTACCTTTTAGTGTTTTCAGCTGCTTTTACATTTTAGCGCTTGCTTCAATATTTTATTAATTTAATGGTGACAGTAGAGGAGCTTGTCTGTATAATGTGTTGTTCAAACAACCACCAATCGGAAGCCTGTGCGATGGAGTGACAACGCAGAAGGACAATTGGGAGAAAGGGGCAGAGTGTTGTCACCCTAGAACAGGAAGCGACCTTCATTGCGGGATCACCAGAAATGTATTTTAAAGACATCTGCAGATTTTTTTTTTTATAAAAATTTAAAAAAAACCTCACTTTTGAAATGACACGAACATGTTAAAAGAACACGTTGAAAATGTAAGCGATTGGATTTGCGTTTTCTGTCATCATCGGTGCCGGAGTCTTGGCAGACTGGAACGAAGCCCTCGGTGTCCAGGGAGAGAAAATATTTAGTGGCGTACAATTTTTCGGTCAAGCGTCTGGATCTGTGCTATGTGTCTGCTGCCCAAAATCAATAATTTTACCAATGAATTTATCTCTGTAATTGACACGATGGTGTATCAATAATGAGTTTTCTGGACGCCAGAATATATGGAGATTAATTGTGGGAGTTTGTTCCCGCGATCGTATCATAAGTGAGCATTTCAGCAGGGGAAACACAGATGGATTATCCCGAGGATGTGACTTGTCAGAGGCAAAAGACAACATTGTAACGTGATCCACCTCAGACAGAAGAAGCCTCCGCTCTCCTTCCAATGAGGAACATGGCGGCCCAGTGTCCCATGTAACAGACCTGAGGGCCATTAGTGTAGGCCGTACTGTATTTAGCAAAGTAATTGCCACTTCTAAAAATTCCTGGCATGTCGAAAAATGGACCTGCTAACCAAAATTCAGAAAGGTCTGGATCAGGAGAAGAACCTAAAGGCTTGACCGTGACTTCGAGAATAGGAAAATCTCAAGATCTTCTGTAGAACATAGCCAAAGGAAGCTCTTTGACTTATGAGGAAAGAGGAGGAACTCAATGTCTACATCTGTTTTGGAAGAAGAGAAGATTTAATACCCCGTCACCAAACCCACCACAAGAGAGGAGTAAAGTGCTCCTCATTACACCTACAGGCATGACCATGACTTTAAGAGTGGACAATCTCAAGATCTTCTTTAGATCATGGGCAAAGGAAGCTCTTTGTCTAATGAGGAAAGAGGAGGAACTCAATGTCTACATCTTATCGGCAGAAGAGCAGATTTAATGCCCTATTACCAACCCCACCACAAGAGAGGAGTAAAGTGCTCCTCGATAAACCTACAGGCTTGACCATGACTTTAAGAGTGGACAATCTCAAGATCTTCCGTAAAACATGGCCAAAGCAAGCTCTTTGTCCAATGAGGAAATAGGAGGAACTCAACATCTACATCTTATCGGCAGAAGAGCAGATTTAATGACCTATTACCAACCCCCCATAAGAGAGGAGTAAAATGCTCTTCATTACACCTACAGGCCTGACCATGACTTTGAGAGTGGACAATCTAAGATCTTCTGTAGAACATGGCAAAAGCAAGCTCTTCATCTAATGAGGAAAGAGGAGGAACTCCACATCTACATCTTATCTGCAGAAGAGAAGACTTAATGCCCTATTACCAACCCCACCACAAGAGAGGAGTAAAGTGCTCCTCATTACACCTACTGGCATGACCATGAGTTTGAGAGTGGACAATCTCAAGATCTTCTGTAGAACATGGGCAAAGGAAGCTCTTTGTCTAATGAGGAAAGAGGAGGAACTCAATGTCTACATCTTATCGGCAGAAGAGCAGATTTAAAGCCCTATTACCAACCCCACCACAAGAAAGTAGTAAAGTGCTCCTCATTACACCTACTGGCATGACCATGACTTTGAGACTGGACAATCTCAAGATCTTCCGTAAAACATGGCCAAAGCAAGCTCTTTGTCCAATGAGGAAATAGGAGGAACTCAACATCTACATCTTATCGGCAGAAGAGCAGATTTAATGACCTATTACCAACCCCCCATAAGAGAGGAGTAAAATGCTCTTCATTACACCTACAGGCCTGACCATGACTTTGAGAGTGGACAATCTCAAGATCTTCTGTAGAACATGGCAAAAGCAAGCTCTTCATCTAATGAGGAAAGAGGAGGAACTCCACATCTACATCTTATCTGCAGAAGAGAAGACTTAATGCCCTATTACCAACCCCACCACAAGAGAGGAGTAAAGTGCTCCTCATTACACCTACTGGCATGACCATGAGTTTGAGAGTGGACAATCTCAAGATCTTCTGTAGAACATGGGCAAAGGAAGCTCTTTGTCTAATGAGGAAAGAGGAGGAACTCAATGTCTACATCTTATCGGCAGAAGAGCAGATTTAAAGCCCTATTACCAACCCCACCACAAGAAAGTAGTAAAGTGCTCCTCATTACACCTACTGGCATGACCATGACTTTGAGAGTGGACAATCTCAAGATCTTCTGTAGAAAAATAGCAAAAGCAAGTTTTTTGTCTAATGAAGAAAGAGGAGGAACTCAACGGCTTCATCTTACCGGCAGAAGAGCAGATTTAATGGCCCATCACCAACCCCACCACAAGAGAGGGTTACTCCTCGATAAACCTACAGGACAAGCTGATCTTATGAAGGCAGAGGATCTTCCAAAAAGCATCTAAAAAAATCAAGTTTAATCTAAATGCAATGTTCTAAAAAAACTCAATTAAAGCACATCTGTAGCGGAAGCCAGATGCAAGTAACTTAATGACTTAGTGGGGCCCCCAGATAAAATCATATGACCTACAAACAGTTCCCTGAATATGGCCAATAAAAGAGATGCAAGGAGTTAAAGGTGACATCCCAAAATGGCGAGAATGATGGGGCACTGCATACCGGTGAGGGAAATCCCTTTAAGCGATACCTCTGAAAACTACACGCCAAAAAAAAAACAAAAATCTGGCATGAAAATATTCAAAATGACCAATCAAAGGACAGCCAGTGATTTCATAATGGTGGGAACCATCAGTACCTTAAAGGAGATGGACACTGTTCTCACTCATACGTCAGACAAGCAAAGGGGACTCATACTGCAAATACACAATAATGCACATGGCCCAGATCTGTGCCTGCCCAAGGTCCAATGGAAGAGGAGGTGGGGGGACCAAGAGATGCCAAATGACCCCAAAACAGCATTTTAATTGAACGTTTGCCATGAAGTCTGGCTGTTATAGTAGGAGCTGCCATGTTGGAGTGCCTGTGTGCAGGGTATAAGGAAGGTGCCTTGCACTGCCAAGCAATGCAGGGGTCTCGTAAAACATAGGTCATGGAGACGAGCAACCTAGGCCAAGGAACAATAGCAATAACTGAATAAAAATCCTAAATCTATGGGAACATGCCAATAAATATATCTGCATGCCGTACGACACGAAGAACCAGATTCACCAAAAAAGGCTGGTTGTATGAGAAGGCTGAGCAGGCCAGAGAGCGAGAAAAAGATATTCAAAGCATAATAAACACTAAAGGATATTTTAAGTGTTGGCTGAAGTGGTCAGGAACCCCCCAAACAATATCTCTCAGAGTTGGACCATATATACCATGGCAGGCAATTTATGGTCCAGGTCAGTAGTATGGCCATGTGTAGACCTTCGGGGTGAGAGTGTTGCCGGTATAAATCCATAATGGCCAACAAACAACCTCAGAGGTGAGAAACGTCTGCTGAGGAACGCAGTGATCTATACATGACATGATACAATATGGCCGACGCCGAGACGTGATCTCCACAATTTCACCTCTGTAGAATGATTTACCACAAAGCTGCTCCACCTGGAATCACTCGACGTGAAGCCCCGGATGATTCACCGAAAATGCATTTCAGTTTGAACTTCTTTTACGGCCACTGAATGCCAGACATGCGATGTTTATTCCCGTAAAACATTCGTCAGCCGTGAAATAGAACGATATAAAGAGACCGTTTCTCCAGTGTATAGAGGAGGCCGTACATTCAGGTCCATTTATGGAGGGCCGGCGTTCACCCGTCATGGGTCACCACACCCTATAGTCAACGCTTAGCACAGTTTCCATTTCGGAACAGACGGCAAAACCCGTTGAGGTGTTTTGTTAGGATATTGAACAAGCATTGTATGTAAAAACGTTATTTTACACCTCATCATACTCAACCAGTCCAGAAAAGTGACCACTTATGAATCTCGGGCATCAGATAGGCCAGTGTTTCTCAACCTTTTTTCATTAAAGGCACCTTTAAAATTATGGACAGTCTCTAGGCACCCTCTAAAATTAAGGACAATCTCTAGGCACTCTCCAAAATTATGGATGGTCTCGAGGCACCCTCTAAAATTATGGACAGTCTTTAGGCACCCTCTAAAATTATGGACAGTCTCTAGGCACCCTCTAAAATTAAGGACAATCTCTAGGCACTCTCCAAAATTATGGATGGTCTCGAGGCACCCTCTAAAATTATAGACAGTTGAGGCATCTCTAAAATTATGGACAGTCTCTAGGCACCCTCTAAAATTATGGACAGTCTCTAGGCACCCTCTAAAATTATGGACAGTCTTTAGGCACCCTCTAAAATTATGGACAGTCTTTAGGCACCCTCTAAAATTATGGACAGTCTCTAGGCACCCTCTAAAATTATGGACAGTCTCTAGGCACCCTCTAAAATTATGGACAGTCTCTAGGCAACTCTAAAATTATAGACAGTTGAGGCACCTCTAAAATTATGGACAGTCTCAAGGCACCCTCTAAAATTACAGTCTCTAGGCAACTCTAAAATTATGGACAGTCTCAAGGCACCCTCAAAAATTATGGACAGTCTTTAGGCACCCTCTAAAATTATGGACAGTCTCTAGGCACCCTCTAAAATTATGGACAGTCTCTAGGCACCCTCTAAAATTATGGACAGTCTCTAGGCACCCTCTAAAATTATGGACAATCTCTAGGCACCCTCTAAAATTATGGACAATCTCTAGGCACCCTCTAAAATTATGGACAGTCTCAAGGCACTCTCTAAAATTATGGACAGTCTCTAGGCACCCTCTAAAATTATGGACAGTCTCTAGGCAACTCTAAAATTATAGACAGTTGAGGCACCTCTAAAATTATGGACAGTCTCAAGGCACCCTCTAAAATTACAGTCTCTAGGCAACTCTAAAATTATGGACAGTCTCAAGGCACCCTCAAAAATTATGGACAGTCTCTAGGCACTCTCCAAAATTATGGACAGTCTCAAGGCACTCTCTAAAATTATGGACAGTCTCAAGGCACTCTCTAAAATTATGGACAGTCTCTAGGCACCCTCTAAAATTATGGACATCCTCGAGGCACCCTCTAAAATTATGGACAGTCTCAAGGCACTCTCTAAAATTACGGACAGTCTCAAGACACCCTCTAAAATTATGGACAGTCTTAAGGCAACTCTAAAATTATGGACAGTCTCAAGGCACGCTCCAAAATTATGGACAGTCTCAAGGCACGCTCCAAAATTATGGACAGTCTCAAGGCACGCTCCAAAATTATGGACAGTCTCTAGGCACCCTCTAAAATTATGGACAGTCTTGAGGCACCCTCTAACATTATGGACAGTCTCTAGGCACCCTCCTAGGCATTTCTAGGCATTTTGACAAGGCACCCCAGAAGAAAGCTCAGGGCACCCCAGAAGAAGCCTCTGGGCACCCCAGAAGAAGCCTCTGGGCACCCCAGAAGAAACCTCAGGGCACCCCAGAAGAAACCTCAGGGCACCCCAGTTGAAAAAGGCTGAGTTAGGCTTTAAAAGACAACCTATGAGTCGCTGATCTGGCAACTCTTTTAATCTCTAGAACTCTTCAGGTGCTACAATGAAGCGCAATGGGGGGTATTTACTAAAACTGGAGCGTGCAAAATCTGGTGCAGCTGTGCACGGGAGCCAATCAGCTTCCAGGTTTTATTGCCAAAGCTTAACCAAGCAAGCTGAAGTTAGAAGCTGATTGGCTCCCATGCACAGCTGCACCAGATTTTTCACGCTCCAGTTTTAGTAAATAACCCCCAATGCTTATTATAATGGATAATAAAAAACTATTGTTACAAAATAGATAAAAAGTTTCAAGTGAGAAAAGATTGGCGTATTACCCCACAACACCGCAATGTAGCAATCACTGATACTTGCGGCTGCTTGGAAGTATAATGAGGAATGTGTCTGTGGAAGTAGTCGTGGTGATAACTGATTGCATCACATTGTAGCATTTTGGGATAAAACGTCATTTTTCTCACTTTTGTAATATTTTTGATATATTTTGTAACAATAGAATTTGTCGCATTCATTTTTTGTATAATCCGATATGTTTCAGGGTTGATTTACTAAAGCCTGGTACACATGATGAAAATATCAGATGAATGATCATTCATTTTTTGTATACTTTGATATGTTTCGGGGTTGATTTACTAAAGTCTGGTACACATGATGAAAAAAATGTACATTCACATCAGTCCCCGCCCCCGAGGAGCGTACAATCTAAGGTCCCTAACTTACATTAATACATATACTAGCGCCGATTTAGACAGGATTCAATTAACCTACCAGCATGTCTTTAAAGGTGGGAGGAAACCAGAGTACCCGGAGGGAAACCCACGCAGACACAGGGATAACATGCAAACTCCAGGCACGAGGTGCCGTGGTTGGAATTCGAACTGACGACCCGAGTACTGCCAGACGGAAAGGCGAATATATAAATCCTGTATATTAATAATAATAATAACAACAAGACTTTGGACCCGTCTCTACAAATCCACCATACAAGATGCATGTTATCAGCAGATGAAGATCTATGTTAAAGTGTACCTGTCTCCTCCGAGGACAGGAGGGTAAGAGGAACCAACGATGACCCCGTCACTATCTCCTCGTGAATTGAGATCTATGTTAAAGTGTACCTGTCTCCTCCGAGCACAGGAGGGTAAGAGGAACCAACGATGACCCCGTCACTATCTCCTCGTGAATTGAGATCTATGTTAAAGTGTACCTGTCTCCTCCGAGCACAGGAGGGTAAGAGGAACCAACGATGACCCCGTCACTAACTCCTCGTAAATTGAGATCTATGTTAAAGTGTACCTGTCTCCTCCGAGCACAGGAGGGTAAGACGAACCAACGATGACCCCGTCACTAACTCCTCGTAAATTGAGATCTATGTTAAAGTGTACCTGTCTCCTCCGAGCACAGGAGGGTAAGAGGAACCAACGATGACCCCGTCACTAACTCCTCGTAAATTGAGATCTATGTTAAAGTGTACCTGTCTCCTCCGAGCACAGGAGGGTAAGAGGAACCAACGATGACCCCGTCACTAACTCCTCGTGAATTGAGATCTATGTTAAAGTGTACCTGTCTCCTCCGAGCACAGGAGGGTAAGAGGAACCAACGATGACCCCGTCACTAACTCCTCGTGAATTGAGATCTATGTTAAAGTGTACCTGTCTCCTCTGAGCACAGGAGGGTAAGAGGAACCAACGATGACCCCGTCACTATCTCCTCATGAATTGAGATCTATGTTAAAGTGTACCTGTCTCATCCGAGCACAGGAGGGTACGAGGAACCAACGATGACCCCGTCACTAACTCTTCGTGAATTGATGGCCTGAATACCGGCCAACCACCCAGAACGGCCAACTCTGTTGTACGAGCCAATGATTCCCATGAAACAAATCTAATATATATAGAAAGCAATGATTATTTTTGGCCATCAGTTTTTTATTTTGAGCCAATGATATGCTAATGAGCAGCTCCTGGCGCCCGTACAGACGTTGTGCCCATTCTGCCCCATCCATGTGCCAGGATGATTGACAGCCGATCGGTGAATCCAGGAAGGGTCGCCTTTTTTTCTTTTTTTTTTTAATTGCTATGCTGCCATTTTCAATCCGAACAGAGCTTAGAAATGGCATGTGAAAGCTTGCGATTTTTTTTACGAACGTTATCGCATCCTCGCGGCGCAATATTTTATTTCAACGTTTTATTGACGACATAAAAACTCCAACTGAACCCGGGATCCAGTGGCGTTCGTACGGAGAAGGAAGATTTCTCTCAGCTGCGAGGCGGCGGCGATTGGAATGGCGCTGGCCATCCCTGGGCAGCCATAACGCGCAGGATGCCCTTAATGAAGATAATAACAATTATAGAGGCAATTACAGGCTCTCTGGAGCTGAAGACGGGCATCGGATTAACTCTTCGCGCGTCAGCAGGCGAGAGCGCGACGACCGTGGACCGGGATGAGGAGAGATTTCCTCAGCACTCATAAAAGGGCAAATAGATGCAGCGAGGAGGAGATGTTTATGGCGAAGGAGGAGGTAGTGGGGGGGGGGCGCGCTCACATCCATCGCAACATCTGGTTAAGTACTGCTCCGTCCAATGCCAGGCTACCTAATTAGCACAACACTTGTGCCGGGAAATGAGGCTGACGCTCACACCACAAGCGCTGGCCGGCAGCTGGAGGATATGAGGGAACGAGGCGGCATCGCTGTGTGTGAGGTAGCCGGCCGGGTGGGGGGGGGGGAAGGAAACGGCGCTCCAGTCACTGCAAGAGTCTTTTAAAAAAGTTTTGCTGTGCAGCTTGCTGGTCGTAAAAGAGATGCGTGTTTGTTCGCCTTCCTTTCATGTCCAACAAAATAAAACTTTCTTCTTTTTTTTTTTCTCCTCCCTTTTTAACTCCTCCGGAGCCGCCGGGTGAAGCGGAATTATTTTTAAAAATTTAATCTTTCAAAAAAAAAAGAACGGTGGCCTCCTTCTCTGAAATAAAAATAGGATTGGTGAGGAACTACAAGTCCCAGCATGGGCGGCTGTATAGACTGTACCCTGTGCATCAAGTGCAGCAACAACACTGAGGCACTACAAGTCCCAGCATGGGTGGCTGTATAGACTACCCTGTGCATCAAGTGCAGCAACAACACTGAGGCACTACAAGTCCCAGCATGGGTGGCTGTATAGACTGTAACCTGTGCATCAAGTGCAGCAACAACACTGAGGCACTACAAGTCCCAGCATGGGCGGCTGTATAGACTGTGCCCTGTGCATCAAGTGCAGCAACATTACTGAGGCACTACAAGTCCCAGCATGGGCGGCTGTATAGACTGTACCCTGTGCATCAAGTGCAGCAACAACACTGAGGCACTACAAGTCCCAGCATGGGTGGCTGTATAGACTACCCTGTGCATCAAGTGCAGCAACAACACTGAGGCACTACAAGTCCCAGCATGGGCGGCTGTATAGACTGTGCCCTGTGCATCAAGTGCAGCAACATTACTGAGGCACTACAAGTCCCAGCATGGGCGGCTGTATAGACTGTAACCTGTGCAGCAACAACACTGAGGCACTACAAGTCCCAGCATGGGCGGCTGTATAGACTGTAACCTGTACATCAAGTGCAGCAACACCTCTGAGGCACTACAAGTCCCAGCATGGACAGCTGTATAGACTGTAACCTATGTACCACCTGCAGCAACAACACTGAGGCACTACAAGTCCCAGCCTGAGAAGCTATATAGAATGTACCCTGTCCATCAAGTGCAGCAACACCTCTGAGGCACTACAAGTTCCAGCATGGACGGCTGTATAGACTGTACCCTGTGCATCCCCTGCAGCAACAACACTGAGGCACTATAAGTTCCAGCATGGGCGACTGTATAGACTGTACCCTGTGAAGCAACAACACTGAGGCACTACAAGTCCCAGCCTGAGCAGCTATATAGACTGTACCCTGTGCATCAAGTGCAGCAACACCTCTGAGGCACTACAAGTCCCAGCATGGGCAGCTGTAGAGCTTCAGCAATATAGACTACAACCTGTACATCAAGTGTACCAAATGGCATTATTCTAACCTCTGAGGGACTACAAGTCCCAGCATGGGTGACTATAAAGCTTTATTATTATAGAAAGCAACCTGTGCAGCAAAAACGCATTGACCTTTGAGGGACTACAAGTGTCAGCGTGGGTGGCCCTATATTATAGATTGCAACATGTACATCAAGTG